ATGGCCTCGGCAGACCAGGTGCTATTTTTTTCAACAGGCGCCGCCGAAGCCCGCAGTCTTGCTCCTGCTCCTTTTTACAAGTAATGCTGCGCGGTCCTCGACGCCGATGGATCGACAAGGTACTCTTGTGAGGGGCTACGGCCCCACCGCCGTCCTGCGCAGTAGGCGCTCCCCGCATGCGCGTGGAGCGGTGTCGGCGACCGTCCCGTCCCTCTTCCTCCGCCGTGTCGCGCTGCTGCTCCTCCATCTGATCTGCCTCCTCCATGTCCTCCTCCCCCTCCTCCCCCTCCCCCTCCTCCTCCTCCTCCTCCTCCTCCTCCTCCTCCTCCTCCTCCTCCTCCTCCTCCTCCTCCTCATCCTCCCCCTCCTCCTCCTCACCCTCCAGCTGCGCGAAGGTGTGGCCCTTCGCCAGAGTGACCTCGGGTGCGGGCCCACCAGTGGTCCCCCGATCGCTGAGCGCGGTGCTCGCCATGAGGCAAACGGGTACTGAGGGAAACGGGTCCTTAGATTGTTTGCCGTTTTGGGAGTCTTTAGGGCCCTCCACGGGCCCCGGGACTGCCAGAGAACGATTCAGGATGAAGGTCTCGTCCTGGGGGAGGGCACCGGGGTGCAGGACACGTTTCCCCCATGCTAAGGTGCGACGGCACCGCTCTGCGCGCTTGGGGTTCGACCCACCCGCGCCCCCCTCTGGAGCCGTGCACCACAGGGCACCACAGGTCACTCTTGCCCAGGGTCACCCCTGCGTGTAGCCGAGGATCGGTGTATAACGCCTCCTGGCTTGACCGGGGAGCACATGCACAGATCCTGGGCCCAGGATCGGCCGGGCCTGGATCGGTGAGGTGGTTTAGGATGCAACTCTCGGGAGGTTACAGTCAGCATCGGCGTGGAAATTATCGGAAACTGGCCCAACCCAGCAACATCCCGCTCAATCTGGTTCGGCTTAGTCCCCCGTTTAATCCAGCCTGATTTGGCTGAATGGCCTCGGCTTGGTAGCCCTCGGTCATCCTCACGAGGACCTCCCAGGAGTCGTTTCCTGACCTTCCCAGGACCTCCCAAGAGTTACTTCGGTCGATTCATCTCGGCGGCGCAGCAAAACGGGGTCGTCTTCACCGACGTCGGCGCGCAAGCTACCCGCGTAAGGTCGCGTGTAGGCGCCCTTGTTACCAGTGTAGCGTGCCGCGCCGGCGGCCCGCGTACGCCGCGGCGTGAGGTCGCTATGTTGTCTCGCGTGGGACCCTCTCCTTTTCCTCGCTCACTTGCTCCTCCTCATCGCCCCGCCTCGCCCAGGTTGGGCCTCGGGTTACGATGCTCCAACCTATTGTAGCTTTGATCACCAGAAAGAACTTCGAGCACCAGGAAAAAAAGCACCGAAACTCGAGGGTTTTCACGTGTCGGGCCCTGGGAGACACTCTTTCGACACTGCTTCGACACTCCTTCGACAAGTTTCCGGGTGCTCGAACGTCTCTCTGGGATGTGGTCCTCCAGTCCGATGGGAGACACTCTTTCGACACTGCTTCGACTCTCCTTCGACCAGTTTCCGGGTGCTCGAACGTCTCTCTGGGATGTGGTCCTCCAGTCCGACGGGAGCAGCATACAGTCGGGGCCCTGAAGAAGGAACCCTTTTGGTTGGGGAGGGGCTCCGCGTTCCTTGAGTGTTTCACAGCTTGCCTCAGGTCTTCCTCGTGTTTTCGATCGGAAATCGAAGTTTAGCTTATAGAAAAAAGGGGCCTCGTTCCTTATTTGGGGTTCCTTAGGTCAACGCCCCGACTGTGAGCCTCGCCCAAGTGGGGCCCTCGGGGTGTCCGGGCCGGAGGCCGAGCGTCCCCCGACGCTCGGCAGCTCTGCCGGCGCTCGGGCCTCCGGCCTCGCAGGCCCCCGCCGCGCCGCCGGGGCCACAGCCCGAGCCCGGGGGCACAGCCCGAGCCCGGGAGGGAGAAGAAAACACAGACACGATTGATCGTCGATTCCCCAGAAAACATGGGAAAGTGTGGGAAAGTGTGGGAAGTGTAGGGAAAAACACAGAACAGACCCCCCCAAACAAAAATTATATATGGGAGAATATGGGGTATACTTCTACTTGTGTGTGTTTATTTGTGTCCTGGGGCCCCTTCACCCGCACCCGCTCTCGAGCCCATGCCCGAGCCCGAGCCCGAGGACCCTCTCAACAAGTCGACAGGACCCTCCCAGCGAGCAGACAGGACCCTCTCAGCAAGTCGATGGGACCCTCTCAACAAGTCCACAGGACCCTCTCGACAAGTCGATCGGACCCCCCAAAAGCAGACAGGGCCCTCCCAACAAGCAGATCGGGCCCTCCCAACAAGCAGGTAGGGCCCTCCCAACAAATAGAAAGGCTTCTGCAAAACGTGGATAGGATCCTCCCTCGGCCCGAGCGCGCGCGGCCGCCCCCCAGGAGGTCCGGGCGGCGGACCGGCGGGAGAGGCAGAGGGACCCGCGGTCCCGCAAGATGACCATGGACCACCTGCAGCAGGCGTACTCCGAGGCTGACGCCTGGACGAGGAGGAGGAAGAGGAGGAGGAGGAGGAGGAGGAGGCGGAGGAGGAGGAGGGGGAGGAGGAGGAGGAGGAGGAAGGAGGAGGAGGAGGAGGAGGAGGAGGAGGAGGAGGAGGGAGGAGGAGGAGGAGGAGGAGGAGGAGGAGGAGGAGGAGAGGAGGAGGAGGAGGAGGAGGAGGAGGAGGAGGGGCAGGAGGAGGAGGAGGAGGAGGAGGCGTACACCACCTGCACCTGCAACATGCGGTTGGACACCTCTTATGACAGGGCTCTCGACCTCCACGACGGTTTGGGCGACGTCGTTGGCCTCTTGTTCGTTCTGCGTCCGCTTTGCCGCAGAGGCGGAACGAATGCAGAGCGTGGGGGATCGAAAACAAACAGAGAACGAAAGACAATGTTGAGGCCGATCCTTGCTGGACGCCTCTTGCACAGCGCGTGTGTACATAGAACACATCGAATTACCATCAGCATCTGTACACCTGTTACATATAACAAGAGCATATAGAATACACGTGCGCAGGCGCATAAGCATATATATATATATATATATATATATATCACAACATACTACTACTCCTGTAAACATATAGTTATCAGACATTCATGTAGTATCCAGGTGCCTGCGGCAACCCTCATTATTAGCAGTGCAGTAGCGCAGCAGGAAAAGGAGGTTCAGCTCAAGACCCGTTCCAGTTCGGTGTCTTGCCGGGGCCCGCGCGGCTTTCGAGCGCCTTCTACATGCCCGCAGCCTCGTTCTCACCTTCTTGACTTGCTCCCCGTGCTCCTCCGCATATGGGTGGCCTTGAGGTTGGCACCAACACCAGTTCCCCAGGAGCGCGAAGATAATCGCACTTCGCGCATCGCGGCTTGGGTTGGAGCGGCGCCATTCTTCAGGGCGGCGGCTCGAGGGCGCGAAGATAGCCGCGCTTCCCGCATCTCGGGGCGCGATGCGCGAAGGGAGGTGACCTAGTTCTCACCATCTTGTCGTATTCCCCCCTGCTCTTCCGAATGTCGGTGGCCTGGAGGTTGGCACCGACACTAGTATCGGCGGTTGCCTCCACCGAGGGAAAATGATCTTGATCTCGGTGATGGTGGTAAGATTCGGGCTTCTTAGGTGGCCGAGAGATTACCACCAGCTCCACAATCCAGAATCATCTTCACCTGGTGGAGGCACCCTCCTTGTATTGGTATTGAAGCCGATTTCCATACGCCCAGACTGTTTGCTTTCCCCTCCGCGGAAGATGCATCGACGAATTACCGTACGAGAAACAAGAAATGACGGGGGGAACATGATCACGTCAAGACGCGTTGCGCCATATTGCGAAGGCCTGACGGCCGGTGCCGCCGACCCTGTTCGCAATGCGCAGGAAGAGGCACGGGTTGTGGGATGGTTTGGGGGAACGGGGAGAAGGACGAGAAGGTGGGGGAGGGAGGTGTCGTATCTGACCCGGGACTTCCCCGGGACTCCCCCGGGACCCCCCCCGGGACCTCCTCTCCCCCCCCCGTCGGGGAAGGGAAAGGGAAGGGGCTTCCCTTCGACTCAATGACGACGTTGCTCAAGGTCGGTACGGGGGGGGGGCGTCGTATCTGACTCGGGGGGGGGTCGCTACCCCCCCCGCTACCCCCCCCCCCTCCCGGCGGGGGAGGAATGAAAGGGAAGGGGCTTCCCTTCGACTCAATTACGAGGTTGCTCAAGGTCGGCTTGGCTGGGGGGGGTCAAGTCGTGACCCGGGGGGGGGTCGCTACCCCCCCCCCCTCCCGGCGGGGGAGGGATCAAAGGGAAGGGGCTTCCCTTCGACTCAATTACGAGGTTGCTCAAGGTCGGCTTGGCTGGAGCCCAGGGGAAGAGGAGTCCCAGGGGGGGGCGTCGTATCTGACCCGGGGGGGGGGGTCGCTACCCCCCCCCCCTCCCGGCGGGGGAGGGATCAAAGGGAAGGGGCTTCCCTTCGACTCAATTACGAGGTTGCTCAAGGTCGGCTTGGCTGGAGCCCAGGGGAAGAGGAGTCCCAGGGGGGGGCGTCGTATCTGACCCGGGGGGGGGGTCGCTACCCCCCCCCCCTCCCGGCGGGGGAGGGATCAAAGGGAAGGGGCTTCCCTTCGACTCAATTACGAGGTTGCTCAAGGTCGGCTTGGCTGGAGCCCAGGGGAAGAGGAGTCCCAGGGGGGGGCGTCGTATCTGACCCGGGGGGGGGGTCGCTACCCCCCCCCCCTCCCGGCCGGAGGGGGGAGGGCTCAATTCAAAGGGAAGGGGCTTCCCTTCGACTCAATTACGAGGTTGCTCAAGGTCGGCTTGGCTGGAGCCCAGGGGAAGAGGTCTCCCAGGGAAAGGGAAGGACAGAGACGACGAGTACAAAGAATGACGGAGATGACGGCTCGAACGGAAAAAACCCTCACACACGCCGACAGGGTCGGCGGATTTGAATCTATCTGCCGAACTATAACAGTTAGGTGCGCTCCGTTCTTGTCCGCAGCTTCGTTCACTCATCCTTCCTTGCCGCTCCTCCTCCTCTTCCCTCTCCTCCCTCCACCCCCTTGAAGACCTAAGACTTATGACGGCCTCCTGGATGCCTCCCTCGGAGTTTCTTGGGGTCTCTCGGGAGCATCCTGGGGTCATCTGCGGGTTTCTTCTGGGCCTCCAGGGGGTATGTTCGGGGATTGTTGGAGGCCATCTTGGAGGCAAAAGGTACCACAGGCCAGTTCGGTGTACGCAGCCGTCTTTAGCCCCGTTGGGGTCTCTCTTGGGGGCATCTCTAGTTTTTTTGTCTCGGGAGTTTCTTGGGCCATTTTGCGGTCTTTTTGGGACGTCGTGTTACCCTTTTTGGAGCCCTCTCGGACCGTCGTTGGGCTTCCTTGGAACTCTGTTCGGCCGCCTTGGGCCGTTGGAAGCCCGAAGAGGCGAGCGCATCGCACTGTGCCACGGACATATGGACAACACGTGATGTTCGCCTCTTAAGGGTCATTCGAGGGGCGTTTTCGAATCCTCTTGGGTCGCCTTGAGACATTCGTGTGCCGTCTCGGCACTCGCTCGGCCGTTAATTATGTCGGAGCGTTTTGCAGGGGTCTTGGGGCGGTCTGGCTCTCCTGGGCCCGTCTGGAATTCAAACAGCTCCCAAACAGAGGAAGCCAAGTCTTGGGGCGTTTGCCTCTCGGAGGGCAAATTCTGGACGCTTCGCGTATCCTCACCAGTCTACGTGGACTTCCTGAGTTTCGCCAGTTTGGCGCTGCACTTCGACCTGTGGCTCTCCCTGGTCACCCGCGTTTCCTGAGCCTCAGCGTAGCCCGCTCCTGTGCGCTCTTGTGTGGAATTTAGGCCGTTGCCTGTGAGCCGCGTTTCTGGACGGCGCCCGGCACCCCTGCGCGCTCGCGAACAAGAAAGTATCCCCACCAGAGCAATTCCTCCCCGGCCACGAGAGTACCCGATTTGGCCTCCCCAAGGGGACCAGGTACCCCACCTGCCCCTGCATCGCGCAATACACCACGATAAGCACGGGCCCTTCCACGCGGACGGCCGAGCGAACCCTGCTACCGGGTTGGCAAGACCCCTTCGACTTTCAGTAGTGGAGGTTGCGCGCCGCTTTCGCCGAGATCTACATGCGCAGCCACGACTCCCAGGACCTTTTCGGGGACACTGACCCTGTCCTCGCATACATGCTGGGCTTCAGGAGCGCCGATGTCACTGACCTTCAGCTCCCAACAAGGCGCGCCCCAGCCACTCCATCGGTGCCTCCCTGCGGCGCAGGCAGCCACGACCCTGAAAGCGCCCATCGCCGACCCCGACAGTAGCGACCTCCTCGGCCTCCCCGACGTCGCAGGCCACCCCGCCTTCGACCCGGCTGACATAGACAAATACGTCGGCCGAGTCTTCCAGAGGGCCAGGCGTGTCCCAGCCATCCGAGTGCTCGACCTCGCTGCCGCGGCCCACGGCCTCAACGACGACTCCAAACTCGCACTTCACTCCAGCGCCGAGCACCACCTCGCCACTGTGCTGGGCCCGACCGGCTCGGGGAAGACAACCACCATAGTCGCTCTGGTCGCCGCTCGGGCGCCGACCCTCTACAACGGGCAGGCAATTATGGTCTTCGCGGGCTCCAGCGCCTCCGCTGACCAGCTTCTCAAATCCTTCTGCGCGGCCAAGAATGCCCGCAAGCTCGACGACGCGATCGGCTTCCCCCGCGCCTTTATACGGCTCGCCCGCATGGAAATGGCAGACAAGGAAGTGATCGGCCTCACTCCCGAAGGCCACTACCACGCTGCCCACGGCAGCTACCCCTTTGAGCACGGCGACAACGCCATGTTCCCCACCTACAAGAGGCAGCTTCTCCAGCAGGCCCGAGCTATCTTCGCCGCGCACGAGGCCGCCGTCGAGTTGGGCGGGAAGTCAGCACTCAGCCTTCCACTCGGGGTGGCCGACGAGGCCGGGCAGACGAACGACGGGAGCGCAGCCATGTCCTGGGCGCACATCATTCGCAGCGGAGGGGACCTCGTCGTCGTGGGAGGCCCCAGCAGCCCCCCCCCCCCACCGTCATGTTCAAGAAGACCGCGGACATGGGCATGCCCCCCCCCCCCCCCGATCTTCCAACGACTCTGCGACTCCCTCGGGGACCAGAGCGGTGCGTTGATCACCCTGACGCGTTCCTACCGCGTGCACCCCTTTCTCGCGTTCTTCCCTTCAGTGGCCTACTACAACAAGGCCCTCGTCGGCGGTCTCCTCGACCCTCTGGACCGCCCCCTCGTGCCCTCCCAGCCCTGGGTTCCCGTTTCCGATCTAAGGCCCGAGCTGTGTCAGTCTTTGGCGCAGCTCCTCAAGGTCCACAGACATGACCCCCTGCGAGAGTGCCTCGAGCTCCACCCCGATCCAGGAGGATCGCCTCAGGCGACGCCCATCGCACCCTCCTGGTGCGCGATAGATCGCATGAGCTCACCTCCACCCTCGCCGAGGGGTATGCTCATATTCCTGAGGCCGCCCTGACAATTGACCCGGTCCGAACCCTT